AAGATAAAATAGACGCCAGCAGAGACGACTCTAGAAATCAAATACTAAAACGGTTATCTGAATCATATTCCAGTGCGTTGGGATACAATTCGCGTTGGGGATCCAAGTAAATGCAACGACTTGCTGCCGCTGCAGGGTGGTCTGTGTAGCGTGCTCAGTGAAGTTGTTTGGTACTTAGATTTCCATTTGTGTGCAGACTTGCTAATGAGGGGGAAGCATGTATTTCACAACGACCTAGACTGTTAGCAAGTGAGTCAAAAAGCGGCTTGGCTACGCTTGAGCGTGTGTTCACCTTACGGGAGTAATTGCAGGAAATTGCGATGCAACTCATGGCAGGGCGGCCCTTATCGGCATCGGCCCGTGTCTTTGTCCCGCTGTGCTTTGTATGCCTGGAGACGGAATGGATGTCAGTAGCTTTGGGGGGACTCTCATCTCACGTTTCCGACTGGACTGCAGCCCCCAAGTGCGCTCCGGTACGATCAAGGCCCCTCACCATACTTGGCGTAGCAGCTTGGCGTAGCGAGCTCCAAGCTCACAGCTGAGCAGACTGGTGCATAGCGCTGATTAATTATGAGGGCGGCTCGCAAGGAAACGAAATGAATATCCCTACAGAGTCCCTCTAATAGTACTCTTTCCAACTGCGTGGTGTTTCTTCGTACTGAAACTTGCGCAGTATTTGCATCCCATCAAGAAGAAAGTGTCCCCACAGCGAAGAATGGCTCTGGGCTTCTTGCGGCAGCACAAGTGTGATGAGTGTTTCTCTGCGGGAGCAGTAAAGGAGTTCTTTGCCCCCATGGAGCTGCAACTTTTGCGTTCGTAGTGCACCCAAAGAGCTACAGTTGCTACTGGCATCCTCCTTATTAGAAGGGGACAGACGATACTACTGGCTATATTCAAGAAAGGTGACCGCTTTGCGGGCACATTCAAGCTATGCAAGTGTTCCGAGGCGCGCTACGAAATCCTTCTTCTCTCTAAGGTCGCAGGCGAGCTGGGCATGACAGAATTAAGAAAGTTTCGAGAATGGAAACTACCGCTAGTGGGCTATGCATAATGACATGAATTTCGGTGGCTATACAGTCGGAGCTGCAGCGCTTGCTCGAAGGCTACCCTGCATGCAAGCATGCCCCGCTGCATGCGCTAACGCCGCAGATATTTGGTAAAAACGAGTTGGGCGTTGGTACTTTGCCGGAGCGCGGTAGAAATACACCTGCCCACATCACACAGAGCATGCTACAGCTGCACCAGAGCAATCGTAGTGATAATTTGTTCCTTCTACAGCAAGACAGACGCTTCACAGCCGTATATTCCTCTTTCCAAAAGACTGCATACTGCTCACACGGCAAGACACACGCGAACCCTGCAGTGCAGACAAATAAATAATATGCGAAGACAAGGGACTTGCAGCCGACCGGCGAGGGCCGCCAACGGAGCGGCTTCAAGAGGAACAGAATGGGTTTTCTGTTTCTATTAAAATCCCTCCCTTTGTGATAACATATTTTAAGCACTTCTGTTGCACCGATGCCCGTATTTCCACTAGGCCCAGCAGCGCTCTCCAGGGCTGCAGCTGCTGCTGCCGCCGCTGCTGTTGCTGCTGCTGTTGTTGCTGCATGCAGCAGCGCCCCACATCAAGGTGAAACCTAGTGGGCGGCAAATGTATTAACTACTTAATTTACTTTGAATTAGAAGAAGTGAACAGAGTAAACAGAATACTAGAAGAGGTCCCTCAAGACCCACACCACAGGCCGTGCAGCAAAACAGTAACAGCACTAGCAGGAGTCTCGCAGCTCCGTTGAAGCCTCGCGGTGGCTGGGTTTCTCTTAGCGGTATTTGTTGATTAGTGCATCCCGGAGGCCTCATACCCACAGAAGAGGCCAGAAGGAGCACCTACTGTGACGGCAGCAGAACCAGCAGCGGAAACAGCAGCAGTTGGGCCTCACCGGATAACCCCCCAGCAGCTGTTGCCGCAGCTGGCTCTCTAGCAGATGCAGATAATCAGTGTGTAGGATATTTACAAGCATCTGTAGCTCTTTTGCATCCCCACAGGGGTCGCTTAGGTCTGAACAGCTCTCTCTCGTCCTGCTGTTTTCAGTTTGCCTTCCCCACCTGTTGCTTGTGACTCTTGCTTGTAGTAGCTTCTGTGCCCGCTAGTCTGGGGCGGCTGTGTTTAGAACACGCGCTACGTGCTGCGGCGTATGGTGTGTTGACAGCAGCAGCAATAACAGCAGCTGCCGCTTGAGAGGGGGGAGCTACTTGTGGCTAGGGGCTTGCAGCGGCGGCAGCAGCAGCTGCTGGATTGGCATAGGCTGCTGCTGCTGTACAGGTGTATGTACAGTCCGATGCGGAGCAGGCGGCAGCAGACTAGGGGCTGCTGTTGGTGTGGAGGGCTATAGCCCTGCTGCCCGGGTGAAGACCACCAACTGCAGCAGGAGCAGCAAGAATCAGCAGCAGCAGCAGCAGGATTCAGGTTGGTTTGACAATGCAGCTAGAAGACTTTGACAGGGCCGTTAGCGCCCTCTTCTCTCAGGGCAGCGCGGCAGTAAACCCCGCAACGAGATGCGAGGCAGAACAGTACCTCAGAGGTAGGCGTAGCTTCTTGTTCGTATTTCTTTGTCAGTTGTTCTCCTCCATGCATGCATTCTGTTATTGCCATTTTCTGCGCCCTTCTCATGCTGGCTTCTGTGATACTGCTGTATTGCCTTGGGCCCGAATGCAACGCCGCGGTGTGTCTGCTGCTGCGNTGCTGGCTTCTGTGATACTGCTGTATTGCCTTGGGCCCGAATGCAACGCCGCGGTGTGTCTGCTGCTGCGCTGCTGCTGCTGCTTCTGCTTGAGCTGTAACTGGCTTAGCTGCACAGAGGGTGCATGGCTTGTGTGTCTGCTGTGTGTATGTACTGCAGCGGTCTGCGACAGCAGCAGCGGCACCACTGTGCTGTTGTCGGCACTTCAGTCTTGCTGTTCATTCGAGGCCAAGTTCTTTGCGTTGCAGCAGCTGCTGCAGCTGCTGCCGCCGCAGCAGCAGCAGCAGAGGGATCAGGCCAAGGATCTGCTGTTCAATGTAATGCGGCTGCGAGTTTGTAGTATGTGGGCTTGCAGCGGCAGCAGCAGCAGCAGCAGTGGGGAGGCGGAGAACCCTCCAGCGCAGCTTGCTGCTGTTGCTTCAGACCCAGGCTCAAGCCCCGATGCCGCTGGCGTGCACAACAAACTCGCGTTGTTGGTGGCGCGGCTGCTAGCAGCAGACATAGACAGCGGGGCAGGAGCATCAGGAACATCAGCAGCAGCAGCAGGGAAGAAGGCGGTGTTCCTGCCTTTGCGGCGGCTGCTGCACCAAGAGGTTTGCGCACTTTGTGTGCAGCTGCAGGAGACAGAGGACGGGCTTGCAGCAGCGACAGCAGCAGCAGCAATTACCGACCGCTGCAGCGCCTGCCGAAGCCCCTCGTGCGCTGCAGCAGCAGGCCGAAACCTTGCAGCAACTCTGGAGTCAATCCGTGTTGCCCTGCGGGTGCTTCTGGTTATACACCAGGAATACATGGAAGATCTGCCCGCCTCTACTGTAAGCTGCGCCCCTGTCTTTGAGGCGACGGGGGGAGCAGGCAGTGCTGCTCCTGGGCTGCTGCTGCGAGGCTGTTGGGCTGCTGATGCGGTGCTGAGTTGCTGCGCCTTGGCTACCTGTCTGCTGCTACTCTGTCGGCATGTTGCTGCGTTGCTGATGTTGCTAGTCACCTGCTACTGCGCCGCTGCTGGGACCTTGCTGCTGCTGCACTTGAAGTGTGTTGCTTTACGCGTTGTCTGAGAGGGCAGCAAATGCGGTCGCGACTTCGTTGGGGGTTCCTGCTGCCTGTATGGCAACTTGGGGGGCGCAGCAGCGAAGATGATCTGCTGCTGCTGTGCTGCTGCTGTGCTGTTGCTTCACTAACTGTTGCAGCTCTCTGCAGCACTCAAGAGCTCGTTCCCGTTCGATGAGGAAATCACCGCAGGTGCGGCGGCTGGCATCTGTCCGCCGCCGTTCTCTCCCCTGCTGCTGCAGCTGCTGCGGCTGCTGCAATTGACACACAAACACAGCCCCGCGCTGGGCAGTGTGTTGCAGCTCTGCTGCTCGGTGGCAGAGAGGTACGTGGGGTGGATCGACTTGCTTCTGCCGCCGCCTCCAGCGGCAGGTGCAGCAGCGGAGGCGCGAAGCAGCGGGAGCAGCAACAGCAGCCCCAATATGCTGCAGCTGCTGGGGGCAACATGGTTGTCAACAGGCTTCTCCGACGCGGCTTCTGCAATTGTAGTGTTTATACATCGGAAGATGGAGCCTGCCGCGCGGATCGATCTGCTGTGCCGCATGGAGGTGAGCAGCAGGAGCAACAGCGCCATGCTTTGTTATGAGGGAGGTTGTTGGTGCCTGCATGCGTTTGCTGCGTGTTCTGGGGTGTATGTGCAGCTTATCGAATGGCTTCTGCACGAGATTCCCCTCACGGAGGTCGCCGCCTCCCCCTCAATGATTGTGCCTTTCGCTGCAATAGTCAACGCAACTGTAGCAGCCTTGACAGAAGCCACAGCATCGCTAGCAGAGAAGCTGGAGGCAGCGGGGGGCAGCCAGGTCTCGGGACCGGTGGTGGTGGGCAGCAGCAGCGCGCCGGTGGCAGACAGAAACCCGCGGGAGCTGTTGCAGCAGGTGGGTGCTGAGGGTCAAGGGCTTAGGGTTTAGTTACAGATGTTCACTTGAGCTGCTCCTGTAATAATATTTTTATGTATTCTGCCTGTTTCTACTGGGATGTTTACACCAGTATGTTGCCACCTAGTTATACAACTGGAGCAACTTTATTTANGCCTGTTTCTACTGGGATGTTTACACCAGTATGTTGCCACCTAGTTATACAACTGGAGCAACTTTATTTACTCATAAAAACGAGTAGCTTATATATCAGGCGGCGGACATACTGTAGGAACGAATGTTCTGCTGCATGGCCAGAGTCATGCCCCGCATCAGCACAGCAGGCAGAAGTCGATGCCTTTTCGCCAATCCTTTCTGAATGTTCATTGCTGAGAGGATCTCTTCCGTGCCCTCCAGTGGCCTAGGAAGACGTTGATGCTGCTGGTTGCTACATATCAACGACTCGCTGCACCACACAGTTGCAGGGGTCTAGCTCGGCGCCAACCACAGCTGCTGTTGCTGTAGCGCTGGTTGCCGCTGCTGCTCCTGCTTCTGCCGCTGCTGCTGCGGCCACTGGAGGCTGTATTCGCGTGATTGGATGTGCTGCACTGTCTCAGGGGCTGACGGCTTTGTGGGCGGTGCTGCCGCTGTCGGTGCAGTTGCTGGGATCTGGTGGCTTGGAGGTCTCGAGCTCCGTTGTGCCGTCTCTGTCGCTGTTGCTCTCAAGAACAGCAGTGTTGCAGCGACAAGATAATGCCTTGCTGCAGCCGCTGTCCACTACCCGCCTTCAGGGTTTCCTGATGGAGCTTCTGCAAGTGCTCCTCAAAAGGGTCAGCAGCAGCTCCTGCTACTCGTGCCTGTTCTGTTGACGGTGTTCCTTTTGCTATACATGGGTTTTCCCCTGTTTATGTTTCTGCTGCTGCTCATGCTGCTTTTCTGGCGGCTGTTCTTGCTGCTGTTTCTGCTGTTGTTCTTGCTGCCATTTCTGCTGCTGTGGCGAAATAGTGAACGCTGTGGAGGCGCTTTGCATTGAGTGTTGTCGCAGCTGGCAGAGGTGGATATGCTGATGGGGGCGGCGGAGCAGCAGCAGGAGCAACAGCAGCAGCAGCAGGTCGTCTACAGCAGCTTGGACGATGAGGAGCTCGAGCAACTGTGCTCTTACAAGGAGGTAATTCAAGATTCCTTCACCCGCTGCCAAGCGACCTTTTGCTGCGGATGCCTCTCCTGCCCACAGTAGCGGACCGGCCCAAAAGGGAAACCGCACTGCTCCAGCGTTGTTGCAGCTGTTGCTGTAGCTGCTTCTGCAACTATCGCTGCTGCAGAGGATTTCCAGCTTGTTGATGGTGTGCGGGGCCCATGTTCGGAGTTGTTTTGAGTGTGCCGCGTTTCTCGTGTATTTCAACGCGTGCCGTTCTTCGTAGGGCCTCGTCCTTTGTGTGGTTGTGCAGGTGTTGAAGCAGCAGTGGGGTATCTGTACATNCGTTCTTCGTAGGGCCTCGTCCTTTGTGTGGTTGTGCAGGTGTTGAAGCAGCAGTGGGGTATCTGTACATCAGCTACTGAATCTGGGGAGGGTCAAGCTGCGTTTGCTGTTTTGGTGTTGTTTTTTCCGCAGGCACTCACTGGCCTATTCAGAAAGGCCTGTGCTGCTGACCAGAGCCGCGTGTTGCAGTGGATACAGGAGGGGATTCAACAACACTTGCAACACTTGCAGCACCTTCAACAGCAGCAGCAACAGCAAGGGCTGCAGCAACGCCGGGAACAGCAGCAGCAGCTCGCAGCGCTGCTGCACATGCTTCTCATCATGACCGACGACATAACTGGTGCGAAGCTGGTGCAGCTGCCAGGGTTGTCTATGCTGCTGCTGGACGGTTGCTGCCGCTGCTTTTGTTGCTGTGTTCTTGTATTTTCTGGTTTTGTGTCTTTTGGCGCTTTGCCTGCAGACCTTCCTGAAAAGCTGAAGGACACGTCCAGCCAGCTACACGGCTGTCTGCTGCAGTTGCTGCAGCTGCTGCACTGCATGCATGCATGCGGGGGCTTCTCGTGTGGGACAGCAGCAGAGAACTTTATGAGGGTTCTTGTGCGCATAGCGCCGCTGCTTGGCAAGCAGGAGCAGCAGCAGCACATCCCAGAGGCGCTTTCGCTTCTGGCAGGACCTCATGGAGTCTGCAGCAGCAGCACCACAATCGCGCCCAAGGCNCAGAGGCGCTTTCGCTTCTGGCAGGACCTCATGGAGTCTGCAGCAGCAGCACCACAATCGCGCCCAAGGCGTGCCTGGCGTTGCTGAGGTTCGTCAAAAATTGTCTGCCGTACTCGGCTGCTTACACGGGCCTGTTGCTGCAACATCTGCTGCAGCAGCAGTGCCTTGATATCCCTCGCAACAGCAGCAGCAACGGCGACTTTCGGCAGCAGCGCGCGCGACCTGCTGTTTCGCCCAGCTGCGGCAACAGCAGCAGGCAGGAACCCCTGGCACTGGCAGCAGCGGCAGATGTTTATGTTCTCCCAAGGGCGTTTCAGGTGGAGCAGCAGCTTCTGCTGTTCGAGGCGGCCGGGGTTCTGCTGGGCTGCAGGCAGCAGCTGCAGGGTCGGACCGCGAACGCCGCCCAAGAGCACGTCGTGCTACTGCATGCATTGCTGGCGAAGGCCACGGCGGCCTTTACTACCCAGATTGTAAGCCCCGTAGCTTCAGGTCTCCACCAGTTGAATTCAGGTGCAGCGTTATAGGTTCTATGCCTTCAGTAGCCGGCCTGCAACAAGAGGCTCTAGGGAGCACCCGCACCCCACCCCAGAGAAGCTACTGTTTTAAGGTTTTATCCCAGCTTTTCTTTCGCTTCTGCTTTTCTTTTTCCTGCATCTGTTTGAACATTCGATAAGGATAATTTCGATGCTTCGTTTCCTTGGGTGTTACTGCAGCCTTCTGGGGGGGACGCCGCCTCGGCAGTGGCCGTGTATTGCTCGCGCTGCGCCAACGCGTTGGCTTCTCTTTCAAAGGGTTTTCAGCCCTTCAAGCAACCGGTCCCCCCCCCGGCGAGTGGGGGGGCCATTGGGGGTGCCTTGTGCAGTTCAGAGACCGAGGCAGAGGCCTCCGTACTGGGTGAATATAAGAAATCCTGGCTACAGGCGTTGCAGCTCTTCACGGACGCTGTTCGCGTAAGCCCTGACACCTCTGTGGAACTATGTTGATGGCTTAGGATGTGGGGCAAGGGTTTTTCGTTAAGGTACTAGGGTTTGGGCTTGGATTTTGGGCCCAGGATTTAGAGTTTAGGCTAGGGAAATCAGCAGCCGGCTGCTTGTGCTCACAGGCAGCCAACGCATGACCTGCTGCCCGTGTATTACGCTTACACTCTTTCCTTGCGGTGATGTGAAGTGCGTTTTGTAGTGTTTGTCGGGTGCCAGCGCGCATGTGTGGATATGTATGCCCGCTTTTGCGTTTCTTCGGCTGAGCGTGAGAAGCTGCTGTGATGATGGTGACGGGACGGTGCGCTGTTGTGCTGACAGGTTGCCGGGGCAGAGGGCAGCCCTCTAGAGGTTGGAGGCACTAGCCTTGTGCTGCTTCCTCCTTTCCTGCATGCATCAGTCTTCCTCTTGCGGCGGCTTCTCTCTCTTTTGGGGCCCCTCGCAGCCTCTTCCATTGGTGCTCTGCTACCCTTGCTGTATGATGCTGTCCTGGTGGAAGCCGACGGTGCAGCGCAGGCAGCGGCTGCATCGAGTAGCCTGCAGCAGCAGCAGCACTCCCCAGAACTCGCCGCTGAGCTTCTTAGCGGCTTCTTCATGCAGCTCTTTGTGTCCTTGAAGGGGCCTCCTCTCCTGTTCTTGCTACTGCAACATTTCCCTCTGTAGGCTGCCATCCCTTTTGAGCTCTTTCTGCCACTGCGCCGCTTTTTTCTAGCTGCAACGAGTTCTTGGCGCACACGAGTTCAGCTACCCTGCTGTATTTCCTGTTTTTGTTGCAAAACAGGCGTAGGATGCTGCAACGTCTGTCTGGGTTATGTTTTCTGTTCGGTGCAGGGTGCTGGAGAGGCATGTGGGCCTGTACCTAAAAGCCGTTGCTGCATCGTCTCAGGAACCCAACTCTGCCGAGCTGCAGCGAGAGTGTCGAGGCATGCAGGAGCAGTTGGCCTGTGTCCTTGCAACGGCAGCCAGGGAGGCCCCGGAGGCGCTTCTGCGTTTCGCTGCTGCTTCGCTGCTTCACGCTGGCAGCAGTAGCAACACCGGGGACANCCGGAGGCGCTTCTGCGTTTCGCTGCTGCTTCGCTGCTTCACGCTGGCAGCAGTAGCAACACCGGGGACAGCAGCAGCAGCAGCAGTGCTTCCGTATTCTTTAATGCGCTCACGCAATGCCTCGAAGGGGACAGTACTGCAAGCCCCGACGGCAGCCAGGTGGGGCGACAGCAGCATGCATTGCTGCAGTTGCTGCATCAACAGCAACAGCAGATGCATGTGCTGTTATTCGGATCGCTGCAGTCGGCGCGTGGAGCGGCTGCAGTGACCTCGAGGGTCCCTGAGGGAACTTCTGCCCCACTCGAAATTGCCAGCGCTACATGGAGGTGCATTTTGCTGTTTTTGCTGCTATGCTGCTTCCCCGGCAGCTCGCCGGCAGCAGCATCACCAGCAGCGCAGGCGTGGGCACATCTTGTGGCCGCCTTTGTGTGCAAACCCGATAGCTGCGTAGAAACAGAACAACAGCTTAAACAGCAGCAGCAGCAGGAGTTGCAGCAAGTCGCGCAGCTGCCGGTCGAGCTGCAACAAGTTCAGGAAGCTATGAGGGATTTCACGAGGCAAAATGTAGCCCTTGAGACGCAGTTACGGCAGCGTCCTTCTCAGGGGGGATCAGCACAAACGCTGCAGCAACCACTGCATCAGAGTGAGGAGATGCAGCTTCTGCGGCAGCAGCAGCAGCAGCGTGTCCAGGGNTGCAGCAACCACTGCATCAGAGTGAGGAGATGCAGCTTCTGCGGCAGCAGCAGCAGCAGCGTGTCCAGGGAATTCACCTACAGCAGGCGGGGCAGCAGCTATCGCTCCTCCTGCCGTTGCTTCCTCTCTTTTCTGTCACTGCCCGTCTATTTTCATCGCTCAAAAACGACGACCCCCAGCACGTCAAGGTATGCTGCTTCTGCTGATACTGCTGCTGGTGCTGCTGCAGTTGATGCTTAGTACGCTGCACAACTAGCCTAGGGTTGAGGGTTTACAGCTTCACAGCAACGTGTAGCGTGTCTGTAACCACACACCCCTGGCCGTGTTTTGCTGTTCTTTGATTTGCTGCGCTCATCCTTGGAAAAAGGTGGTGGTGTGTTCCTTTTATTTATCTTCTTCTAGCCCTGTTTCACGCGTCCTTAGTTTCGTGTTGGTTTGTTTATCTCTTTGATTCTTCCTGCCTGCACTCTTGCCTTTGCTGCGTGTGTATCTTCGTCATTGCCGTACTTTGACTCTATTTGTATTTCCTGATTGATACTCTACCGGCCTCTGTTTAATAGTATTTTCACGTTCTAGTGAATATTTTTATTTAAATAATGTATTATCACCGAATAATTTAAATCGTAAGACAATCAGTTCTAAGAAAAAGTTTTAATTATATTTATCGTTGAGTTTTTGAAATAGAAATTGCGGTGTGGTTCATTTTCCTCGATTCCACTTGTTTTTTATCCGCACTCCATCTTCATCTCCTTGCTGCCGTTGGTATGTGTGGCGTCCATTTTGCAGCTGNCCCAGTTCGTATCATTTTTCAACCCGTTGCGTAGCGGCCTGCAGGAGGCGCTAAAGGGAGGACTCGCCGCGCGTATTGGCGATTCTTGCACTGCTGCTACTGCTGTTGCTGCCCTCGTAGAGGTATGCATGTGGGATATATTTGCGCGAGTCATACCACAGGGTGCTGGTTGCTCGCACTCGTTGCTGTTCTTTAAGGCGCCGATGCTGTATAGACAGCTCGTGCTGTACAGGCAGCAACTGGTGCATAGAGATTTGGTTCAAGGAACGTGCTTTTGTTGCAAGTTGTACACGCAGTGTTTCCCTGCATGCATGCACGTATCGTTTCCATGTATGTATTCCCCGTTCATGTGCGTGCATTTGTTGCTTCTGCAGGCGTTGGGACAGACTGACGGACAACAACTCCGAGAAGTGATGAGGACTTGGAGGCGACAATTTATGCCGAAGTAGCGGTAGCTGACTTCAGCAGCAAACGCAGCTGCTGGTGCTGGTGGAGCTGCGTAGATTGCCGCAGCATCTGGAGTAATGGCAACTACTAATCTGCCGGCAGCCGGTGCTCTGGTAGTAGGTGGAGTTGCGCCGACGCTGTATAGACAGCTCATGCTGTGTAGGCAGTAACTGGTGTATAGACATTTGATGGTGGGTAGACAGCTGCATTTGGTGTATAGACGGCTGAGCATATGCTGGGTGCGTTGTCTGGGCTATTTAGAAGTGGGGCCTGTGTTAGTTGAGTCTGAGCTGACATTCCGCATATCTTTTTCTGCCCCTTGCGGACGTCGTCGAGCCCATATCTCTAAATGCAGAACAACAGGTTAAAACTCGATTTGCATTTGCAAGTGCTTTTGGTCTCATTATCTATGGAAATCGCTTCAAAAGCGGCACTTTTAATGAGGGCTGCACTGAAGTGCGGGGTCCGCATGGAAGGTGACGCTGCAGAGGAATAAAAAACAATGGAACCCTAGTATTAATATGTAATGCAACTGAATGATATGAAATAGGATTCTATACTATGTACACATTATTACTATATGCAACATGCTGTCCTCGATGCACTTTTACATGCATTTAGAAGTATTTATCATATCCCGTCGTTTTACTACTTTTATAACAAGTGGAGCTACGCCATTAGCAGAGAATGGCGTCTAACTGCCGCCGGCCTATACGAACGTTGTGCCGGCTGCGCTGGGCTACTTGTTGGAATAAAGGTAGCCGCACGCTCAGCGATCAGAACGATGTAGGCGACAGCCTCGATACCAAGCAGGATTAGACAAAATGCAGGCAGTGATACAGCCATCCTGCCCTCAAGTAAGCGAACCACGAAAGAACTAAAGAGGAGCCAGAAGCCCACGCAGCATTTGCGTCCGCAGTTCCTCGATACTAACCGAGGAGCTCAGCGAGCTGCATTGAGGTCGAAGTCGCGACAGAAAGGTTACCCGAAGAGAATTTACCTCGCCTCAGTCCCCAAGTGTCCTGAGCACCAATGCCCACGGGTCTGCGGATAGTGCTCATAGCAAGCTCTCATGACAGTACCCTGCTGCAATTAGTGCTGCAAGCGGACCCCACATGCACGCGCAAACGAGCCAATACCATACCGGGGCTAAAACAGTATATAATTGCTGATTGATAACTTGGTATTTAACAACCATCCTGCGAGCAAGCAAAAGTGTACTTCCCAACTTCGCACACACAGACAAGCCTTCGCCACAGTGCAGCACTTCTACGGACACAGCCTGACTAGCTAAAGCTTGCCGCTATAGCCAGCTGTGGCAAGGAAGTGTATACCTGTTTATGTTGATAACATAATTATGAATTTCAAAGGGTGTGAAAGCAGACTAAAATAGGTACGCCTTCAATAAACGCAGCACACGGCAGCTTCGAANATTTCAAAGGGTGTGAAAGCAGACTAAAATAGGTACGCCTTCAATAAACGCAGCACACGGCAGCTTCGAAGGCGTGCATGGGGGATGTGTGACCCCATCCTCACAGCCCCCTTTAGCTGTAGAGGCATCAAAGAGTGCTCCACACTCAATTAATTCAATAATTCCGGTTTTTATGAATGGAATCAAACGAATCAAGCAAAAACTGCCCTCGCCTACATTCGGACCTACGCGCCGGCACCTCTCAGCCCCACCAAAGCGGGGGACTCGGTGTGGCGCCATGTGTATTTCGCCTGTGTAAGATATACAGATACTGTTTATTAGAGTGTATTTAGCAGTTATCAATAAAAGCTGCTCTTCTTTTGTCAGGTGCTCCCCAGGCACTTAACCCCTCAGGCACCATGGGGTCTGCAGCAGGCGACAGCACTGAGGACAACCGCTTCGACGGCTTGTTTGCAACAGTCGCCGAGCAAGCGGGGGGAATTGAACCTCTTTTCGACTACTTCTTCGGTTTTCTCTGTCGGAAGACTGACTTTTTCACTGTGGGCCGCGCCGCATGCAAAGACATGCTAGACAAGTCTTTTCGCAAGTGGACAGACAAAGCCACTGAAAAGGCCGAGAAGGAGCGTATACAACGCGAGAAGCAGCAGAAGCAGCAACAGCAACGGCAACAGCAGCGCCAGGAGCAGGAGCGCCAGCGGCAGCGGCAGCAACCAGTGGACCTCAGCAACCGCCCAAAGGTCGAGGAGCTGACCGAGGAAGAAGAGGCCCTTTTCGCTCCTGCTGAAAATAAAGCAGCAGCAGCCTCAACAGCAGCCGCAGATGTACCACCTAGCGCCAAATCGACTGGAGAGGAAGGAGACACATCGGACGACGAGAAGGAAACCACTCGACCGGAGGGCAACGGGGGCCAGACAGACAAGTGAGGCGGATTTAAATTGTACACTCACTCNAAACCACTCGACCGGAGGGCAACGGGGGCCAGACAGACAAGTGAGGCGGATTTAAATTGTACACTCACTCGGCCATTCACCCAGTCGTTCATTACTTCATTTGTTAGATATGCTTGCAGGCGTGTGTGTGTTGGTTTCACGGGTGTGTTCAGGCTGCGTAGCCGGCCTCCCTGTGAGGTTGTATTTGCCAGCCGTAGTGCAGAGAGCAGGTCTCAGCATCTGTTTGTGTGTATGCATGCGTTTGTTTTATTTGTTTATTCCTTTTTGTCCCCGTTTGCTTGCGTGTGCCTTTTGCTTGTTTTGCGTCTATCTTTCTCTCCAGGTATCGTTGGACCCAAACACTGGAGTCTGTGGACGTCTACGTGCCTGTGGGCGAAGGCGTGCGTGCGGCGCAGTGTGAAGTCAAGATAACCGCCACTAGGCTGACTTTGGGTCTCAAAGGGCAGGCTCCCATCTTGAGTGCGAAGACGACGCCACGTTGATGCTTACTGCGTGCATTGTGTTTTGTTTTTGGAGTGGTGTTGACTTACTTCACAGTGTCTCGTACCGCTGTCAGTTGCTTGCTCTTTCCTTTTGTCATTGCCTGTGTATCTTTCCGTGTGAACT